TTCATTGCATTTTTGGATTTAGAAAAGGCATATGCTAGAATAGATAGGGGAGCAATGTGGCAGATGTTGGAAGTGTATGGAATAGGTAGTAAGTTACTAAATGCTGTAAAGAGTTTTTATGAGGATAGTGAGGCTCAGATTAGGGTGTGTAGATGAGAGGGAGTGTTAGGTAAGACACATATGCAACAGTTAGGTATCTACTTCAAAATGTTTTGCCTACACAGTAGGCTTCTTCAGTGAAGTATAGAAAAGTTGGTAGAAGCAGAAGAGATGTGAAGACGACGTAATCAGTCCTTCACCCTTGAAGACGGTTTGAAGGGGGTCAGCCCCTTCACCGGAGAAGAGTATTTGTTCCATATTTGAAACATTGTGAAGTGAAGTGACAGTATGGAGCCTTTAAATTTTCGGGAGGTGAGCTGTAGGGCCACTATAAAGAAAGAATGTAATCGTTGAAGTCACATCCTCTCAAAAAAAAAACATTCTTCTTGTAGAATTTGCCCCAAAAAGTTTTTCTGTTCTGTCCCAAGATACCATGGTTGAGTGTCTAACAGAGTAAATATTTTAATTTTCATTAGGAGAGAGGGAATTACTTCCCAGTAAAAGTAGCTTAGACAGTGATGGTAATGTCACCATGGTTGTTAAACCCTATTTAAGAGGGGTTGTAAAATAATAAATGTAGGGTTTGGGGAGAGGGGGGGGAAAAAAATTATGGGGAATAATACAAAATGGGAGTTGACAAATTATTTTTTGCTATATACTGTGCTCTTGGGGATTCAAAAAAAAAGCTGCAAAGAGATCAGGGAGAATTTGGGAGGGTGTGTAAAGGTAAAAATTTTTAAATGAACATAGATAAGAGGGGGTGATGAGGGTATCAAAAAATTTAGATAAAAAAAAATTGGGAAATTCACATTGGAGGGGGGGGAGTATGGAAAAGTGAATGTTTTCAGATTTTTTGGGAGTTGACTTGTCAGTGGAGGTTTTATAAGGATGATTTTAACCAAGAATTGATGAAGGAAAAAAGGTGAGGGTGCATTGAGGTCTGTGGAAACAAAGACGTTATCCATGGAGGAAAAGAAAGGAACGACAAGAGTATGTGGTCCCAACATTCTTATAGGGGGTGTGAGAATGGGTTTAAATGCGCAAAAAGGGGGCAGCGGGAGGCAGTGGAGATTCCTGTCAAAGGGGCAGTGTTGGTGTAAATGTTAGCAGAGAATTGTATGGGGAAATTAGGGGGTGTGGATTTAAATAAAAGTATTATCAGGGGCTGTTATTTGGTTTTTTGGTCATTTAGAAGAATGGAGCAAAGTAGAATGATTTAAGAGCGTATAAATCTGTAGAAGAAGGGGGGGTGGGGGTCATCCCTGAAAAGGTTGGAAGGAGGAGGGGATAAAGGAGGTTTTGTGCAAAAGGGCCTTGGATTCCAGCAAACTTTGGGATGTTACAAGGAGTGAAAGGAACGAATGGTTTTTGGGCCCGGGATGAGCGTTGAGTGTGACGGGTATTTTTGTGAAAGGGGTTCAGGAAACCAGTTTGCCGGGGCTTGAGTCTGGAAAAGGTAAATACAGTCATGCACTTTAGGGAGGGGGTTTTTGGATATTGACATTTGGAGGGGGGTTCTAAGCTGTCATGTCTGAGCACCTCTGCAAAGACAGCAATTTTGTGGATTCTGGTGAAAAGTGTTTTAAAAATAATGAAAGTTTTTTTTTTTTTTTGTTTTGTTTTTTCTTTTTTGGGGCCTCCTGCCTCCATGAAAATGGCCAAGTGTTAAAAAAAAAAATTTTAAATTTTGGGTGATATATTAAAAGTGCATTAGTCAAAACCCGCACCCACAAAATATCTGCTAGCAAAGGGAGGGGCCTTATTATTTGGTTGGGCCCATTGTACAGCAATAAGGGCCTTAAAGGAGGGGGGTTAAAGTGGTTCTTCGAATTTATCATTTATCTCACCTGCACATTGTGCCTTTGCATCCATTATTTGAAAGAAAAAGGAAAACAAAACACAATCTGAAAAGGGAAAATAGTCACTTTATTATCTCCAGCATAAATTAAAGGTGGGTTCACACTTTTTAAATTTGCCTTTGAAACTTAATTTGGTTTTAAAAATCTGGGAAAAATTTTAAGATAAAATTTCCCCATCATAGTCGGTGACTAACAGGGGAGGAGTTGCGAAAATAAAAATTTAACACTTGGGGGTAACCTACAAATTAATGTATGTACATATAGTATTGTAATCCTATCATCTTTGCTCTGCTGGGAATATATATTTAGGACTATATGAAAAAATTGTAAGTAGTAGGTTGGTAGACAAACCCCCCAGGGAGGACTACCGTCCGCCAAGTGAGTGTAAAAAAGGAAACCGTAATTGTTTTAATGATGGTAGGATTGCTGGTGTTTTTTTTGTCTCTTAAACATGCAGATTTCAGGGACGTCTTGCTACTTCTTCTTACACTTGGGTCACACTACACATACATGTACAAGCATAATAACACACACCCCTCTGGGTCTTTTCATTTCTTTCTAGTTATTGTTCTTGTTTATTTTTTCCCCTTTTCTCCATGGGGAATGGAAAGAATTCTTCCTCCGAAGCCATGGTTTGTAAAGGCGACTAAAATGCCGAGCAAGGGCCCATAACCCCTTCTCCTGTATAAATTTCAATTAAAAAGAGAAAAATTCTTTTTTTTTTTTGGGCCACCCTGCCTTGGGGGGATACGGCCTTTTTTTTGAAAAAAAAAAAAAAAAAAAGTACATAATGATTGTAATTTTTTCTCTACACTTGAAAAAGCTTTTAGTATAGCAAAATTTTTCTGTAAAGTACATCTACCTTTTTCCCTTTTTTTCCTGTGAATCATCTTTAAAAATTAATTTTCCCAATTTATAAGTGGGACCCTCTCTTTTGTTGGGGTCTGTTTTCGCTGATTTTTTCCATCATTGATTTTTTCCAAAAAAATTTTGACTTTTTTGTCCTTTCCTCCATTTGTTGGGGGTCGGGAAAAATATTAGCTCTGTTTTTTTTTTTTCCTCCGTTCCATCGGTGGTACAATCAGCCCAGTCTGCCGTGATCAACCTCCCCACACACATCTGAGAAGGCATATCGCTTTTTTATAGGGGAGTGAACATTTTGGGGGGGGGGGGGGCGCTTATGGAATTTTTTGTAAGTCATTGTTTCTTGCACTTTTTTATTCTGTGCGACTGCTAAAAAGCCACCATGGGCCCAAACAAAGCTGTAGTCCATCCTTTGGTAAAGAAGGTGAGAAAAACAATAGAATTAAAGAAAGAAATATTTAAAAATATGAATGTGGCTTACTGTGATTGACATGCGAGGATATACGGCAAACCTACATCAACCATCATTCCACATAGCGAAAAAAAACAAAATCAAGGAAGCTGATGTTGCAAAAGGGGGGAAAATGATAACAAACAGAGATCACAAACACTGGAAGATTCGGAAAATTGTTGTTGGGGGTGGATCAACAAAAACAATACAGGAATAGTATTGGCAGTCAGTAGTTTGCAAAAGCAAGGCATTGCATGCTGATCTCTAAAGAAAATGCCTCGAATGAGTGCTCATTTAGTGAATTTAAGGGCGCAAAGGCTGGGTTTAAAAAAATTTTAAGAAGTGGGCATAAATTGTTTTAAGGGGGGGGGGTTGTAAAAAAGGGTGTTGTGCATAATTTGGTAAAAGGGTGAAGGGCCCCCCGGTTCAGGGGTAAACAGCCCGGGAAAAAATGCAAAAGGAACATAGAGGGAAAAGGACTCCCCCAAAAAGTTTAAAGAAGGAACACCTTCTTTTGGAAGAAAAAGGGAAAAAAGGACCTTTATTTGGCAGAAAAAAGGCAAAAACAACAAAGTTTTTGGAGGGGGAAAGGGTAACTTTTGGGGCCGGGTAATTTTTTTATTTGGGTAAAAGTGGGCCCATTGGGAAAAACTCCTGAAAAATTCCCAAGTGTTTAAGGACAGTTGGGTTCCCCAAGGGGTAAAATGGGGGGGGGATTTTTGGAAGGCCCCCAAACTTTTAAGGCACAGGGGTATTTCCTTAAAAAATTCCCCAAAAAAAAGTTTTTGGGCTTTTATGTAAGGAATACCCCTAAAATTAAAAGTCACTTCAACCTCTGTAAAGGACAATGGGTCGGGGTATTTCCAGAAACCTTTTGGGGAAAATTTTGGGAGTTTTTCCCCAAAAGAAGGGGTTTTGAAATTTACGCCTGGACCCAAACCTTTTCAATCAATTTCAAAGGGGGAATTCCCAAAGGGGGGTTGATGTGACCAAGGAAAGTTTATGACCCTAAGAGCTAAAAGAAACTCAAACTTTATTTCCAAAAGAGCCAGAGAAAAATGCTTCAGGGAGGAGGAAGAGAGTGAAGAGATTAAGGAGATTTGTGCAATGTGGAGTGGGGTGCAAACATTTGTGGAGGAACATCACTCTAACAAAGCTGTTGCAAGCCATGTCGGCAACATATACAATGACAATGTCATGTCCCATTTTAGGCAACTTTTAAAGAGACACCAGAAACAAAGCTCTCTGGAACACTTCTTTGTGTGACAGGGGTCCAGTGACTCTCAAGCTGGTCCTAGTGCCATTTAAAAACAAGAAGGGAAGTAACCTCGGATAAGGACTTGTTACCTAAAGTCTTGATGGAAGGGGATATCCCTTCCGAACAATAGTGACTTCTCCTCCCTCTCCCCTCCTCTCTGTCTACCATATACCAAGAGTCTTGAGTTCTCATTTTCTGATGTAAATCTATATTTAATGTATTAAAAATTATTTTTGTTAATATTTTTGGGTGGCTAGAATGGATTAATTGGATTTACATTATTTCTTATGGAGAAAATTATTTCAGTTTTAGTCAATTTCACATTTTGTCGGACACACTGGAACGAATTAAAGACGAAAAGGGAGGGTCCACTGTATTTGTTTGTTTGCAGTTTAATAACATTTACATATTGCTTCAAATGAAGTGAAATTTTTTTAATTTTACATCAAAATTTGCTTATTTTTTGCAGGCACAAACTCCAGCTCAGTGGGAAAGAGAACCTCGGGAAATTGAACCTAGTCCCACATGCCGAGGAGGTTTTGGCAAGTAGTAGATCCACAATATGAACAATATTGTTACTCTGAAAGTTAATAATCAGTTCTCTTTACATGTAAATATGTACTGTGCATAAACAGTAGTGTGATTTGCTGATTTTTAATTCCAGTTACAGTATTGCAGTACTGTAACAAAAAAGCAGTTAAACCCATAGGAGTCATAAAGCACCTGGGGGAATAAAGAGGCAGTTAGGCCCAATCCAAAGAAGGGGAGGACAGTCCAATTCTTAACATTAAGGGCCCTCATTGACATCAAGGAACCTTCCTTGAGGGTAATATTTTTTATTAATTGTACTGTTCTATCAATATAATTAGAGTAATTTTTTTGTCCCAAATGCTAACAGGGGCTACTGTGTTACCCATACAGGTTTAACACTTATGTTGTAATATAACATTAGTTCAGTGATCCATCGAGATATAACATCTCTACCCATCCTTCATATTGCACGAATTATTTCACACTTCCAGAAATCTACTCTGGATATTGGTATCACAAACCTTAAGGATATTTAAATACAGTGGACCCCCGCATAACGGACGCCTTGCATAGCGGACAATCCGCATAGCGGACGCTTTGATCGCTAAAATTTTGCCCCGCATAGCGCCCAAAAACCCGCTCAGCGGCCTTCGTCCGAGACGCGTCCAATGTGCGGCCTGAGCCAGCCTCATATGTTCCGCCGGTGGCATTGTTTACCAGCCAGCCTCCGCGGTAACATTCAAGCATACAATCGGAATATTTTGTATTATTACAGTGTTTTCGGTGCTTTTTTTCCGGAAAATAAGTGACCATGGGCCCCAAGAAAGCTTCTAGTTCCAACCCTACAGCAATAAGGGTTAGAATTCCTATAGAAATGAAGAAAGAGATCATTGATAAGTATGAAAGTGGAGTGCGTATCACCGACCTGGTCAGGTTGTACAAGAAACCCAAATCAACCATCTCTTCTATTGTGGGCAAGAAAACGGCAATCAAGGAAGCTGTTCTTGCCAAAGGTTTAACTGTGTTTTCGAAACAAAGATCGCAAGTGATGGAAGATGTTGAGAGACTCTTATTGGTGTGGATAAATGAAAAACAGCTAGCAGGAGATAGCGTCTCTCAAGCGATCATATGTGAAAAGGCTAGGAAGTTGCATGAGGATTTAATTAAAAAAAGGCACTGCAACTAGTGATGATGTGAGTGAATTTAAGGCCAGCAAAGGTTGGTTTGAGAGATTTAAGAAGCGTAGTGGCATACATAGTGTGATACGGCATGGTGAGGCTGCCAGTTCGGACCACAAAGCGGCTGAAAAATATGTGCAGGAATTCAAGGAGTACATAGAAACTGAAGGACTGAAACCTGAACAAGTGTTTAATTGTGATGAAACAGGCCTGTTCTGGAAGAAAATGCCAAGCAGGACCTACATTACTCAGGAGGAAAAGGCACTCCCAGGACATAAGCCTATGAAAGACAGGCTTACTTTGTTGATGTGTGCCAATGCTAGTGGTGATTGCAAAGTTAAGCCTTTATTAGTGTATCACTCTGAAACTCCCAGAGCGTTCAGGCAAAAGAATATCCTCAAGGCTAATTTGTGTGTGCTGTGGAGGGCAAACAGTAAGGCATGGGTCACTAGGGACTTTTTCTATGACTGGTTATACCAAGCATTTGCCCCCAATGTGAAAGATTACCTAACTGAAAAGAAATTAGAACTTAAGTGCCTCCTGGTGTTAGACAATGCCCCTGGTCATCCTACAGACGTGGCAGAGCGACTTTATGGGGACATGAGCTTCATTAAGGTGAAGTTTTTGCCTCCTAATACCACTCCTCTCCTGCAGCCCATGGACCAGCAGGTCATTTCCAACTTCAAGAAACTGTACACAAAAGCTATGTTTCAAAAGTGCTTTGAAGTGACCACAGACACTCGATTGACTCTAAAAGAGTTTTGGAAGGATCACTTTAATATCCTCAATTGTGTAAACCTTAAAAGGTAAGGCTTGGGAGGGAGTGACTAAGAGAACCTTGAACTCTGCTTGGAAGAAACTGTGGCCAGAATGTGTAGACAAAAGGGATTTTGAAGGGTTTGAGGCTAACCCTGAGAGGAGTAATACCAGTTGAGGAATCAATTGTGGCATTGGGGAAGTCCTTGGGGTTGGAGGTTAGTGGGGATGATGTGGAAGAGTTGGTGGAGGAGGACAATGAAGAACTAACCACTGATGAGCTGATAGATCAACTTCAAGAGCAAGAGGCCAGACCTGGGGAAACTGGTTTTAAAGGAGGGGAGAGAGAAATTGAAGGAATTGCCTACTTCAAAGATTAAGGAAATGTGTGCAAAATGGCTTGAAGTGCAAACCTTTTTGATGAAAATCACCCTCACACAGCTATTGCAAGCCGTGCTGGTGACTGTTACAATGACAATGTTGTGAACCACTTTAGACAAATCATAAAGGAACGAGAGGTACAGGCCACTATGGACAGATATGTTGTGCGAAAGAAGTCCAGTGACTCTGAAGCTGGTCCTAGTGGCATTAAAAGAAGAAGGAAGTAACCCAGAAAAGGACTTGCCCCTCAAGTCTTAATGGAAGGGGATTCCCCTTCTAAACCCCTAACACTCTCTCTCCCCTCCTCCCATCCCATCAATCATCACCAGATCTTCAATAAAAGTAAGTGTCATGTAATTGTGCATGCCTTTTTCAGTTTGTGTGTACTAAAATTAACATTTTTTTGTGGTAAAAAAAAAATTTTTTCATACTTTTGGGTGTCTTGCACGGATTAATTTTATTTCCATTATTTCTTATGGGGAAAATTCATTCACATAGCGAACATTTCGCATAACAGCCAGCCCTCTTGCACGGATTAAGGTCGCTATGCGGGGGTCCACTGTATACAATAAAATATTATTTTTAATAATAATTTTTTTATTTTTTTATTATCACACCGGCCGATTCCCACCAAGGCAGGGTGGCCCGAAAAAGAAAAACTTTCACCATCATTCACTCCATCACTGTCTTGCCAGAAGGGTGCTTTACACTACAGTTTTTAAACTGCAACATTAACACCCCTCCTTCAGAGTGCAGGCACTGTACTTCCCATCTCCAGGACTCAAGTCCGGCCTGCCGGTTTCCCTGAATCCCTTTATAAATGTTACTTTGCTCACACTCCAACAGCACGTCAAGTATTAAAAACCATTTGTCTCCATTCACTCCTATCAAACACGCTCAAGCATGCCTGCTGGAAGTCCAAGCCCCTCGCACACAAAAACCTCCTTTACCCCCTCCCTCCAACCCTTCCTAGGCCGACCCCCTACCGCCTTCCTTCCACTACAGACTGATACACTCTTGAAGTCATTCTGTTTCGCTCCATTCTCTCTACATGTCCGAACCACCTCAACAACCCCTTCCTCAGCCCTCTGGACAACAGTTTTGGTAATCCCGCACTCCTCCTAACTTCCAAACTACGAATTCTCTGCATTATATTCACACCACACATTGCCCTCAGACATGACATCTCCACTGCCTCCAGCCTTCTCCTCGCTGCAACATTCATCACCCACGCTTCACACCCATATAAGAGCGTTGGTAAAACTATACTCTCATACATTCCCCTCTTTGCCTCCAAGGACAAAGTTCTTTGTCTCCACAGACTCCTAAGTGCACCACTCACTCTTTTTTCCCTCATCAATTCTATGATTCACCTCATCTTTCATAGACCCATCCGCTGACACGTCCACTCCCAAATATCTGAATACGTTCACCTCCTCCATACTCTCTCCCTCCAATCTGATATTCAATCTTTCATCACCTAATCTTTTTGTTATCCTCATAACCTTACTCTTTCCTGTATTCACCTTTAATTTTCTTCTTTTGCACACCCTACCAAATTCATCCACCAATCTCTGCAACTTCTCTTCAGAATCTCCCAAGAGCACAGTGTCATCAGCAAAGAGCAGCTGTGACAACTCCCACTTTGTGTGTGATTCTTTATCTTTTAACTCCACGCCTCTTGCCAAGACCCTCGCATTTACTTCTCTTACAACCCCATCTATAAATATATTAAACAACCACGGTGACATCACACATCCTTGTCTAAGGCCTACTTTTACTGGGAAAAAATTTCCCTCTTTCCTACATACTCTAACTTGAGCCTCACTATCCTCGTAAAAACTCTTCACTGCTTTCAGTAACCTACCTCCTACACCATACACTTGCAACATCTGCCACATTGCCCCCCTATCCACCCTGTCATACGCCTTTTCCAAATCCATAAATGCCACAAAGACCTCTTTAGCCTTATCTAAATACTGTTCACTTATATGTTTCACTGTAAACACCTGGTCCACACACCCCCTACCTTTCCTAAAGCCTCCTTGTTCATCTGCTATCCTATTCTCCGTCTTACTCTTAATTCTTTCAATTATAACTCTACCATACACTTTACCAGGTACACTCAACAGACTTATCCCCCTATAATTTTTGCACTCTCTTTTATCCCCTTTGCCTTTATACAAAGGAACTATGCATGCTCTCTGCCAATCCCTAGGTACCTTACCCTCTTCCATACATTTATTAAACAATTGCACCAACCACTCCAAAACTATATCCCCACCTGCTTTTAACATTTCTATCTTTATCCCATCAATCCGGCTGCCTTACCCCCTTTCATTTTACCTACTGCCTCACGAACTTCCCCCACACTCACAACTGGCTCTTCCTCACTCCTACAAGATGTTATTCCTCCTTGCCCTATACACGAAATCACAGCTTCCCTATCTTCATCAACATTTAACAATTCCTCAAAATATTCCTTCCATCTTCCCAATACCTCTAACTCTCCATTTAATAACTCTCCTCTCCTATTTTTAACTGACAAATCCATTTGTTCTCTAGGCTTTCTTAACTTGTTAATCTCACTCCAAAACTTTTTCTTATTTTCAACAAAATTTGTTGATAACATCTCACCCACTCTCTCATTTGCTCTCTTTTTACATTGCTTCACCACTCTCTTAACCTCTCTCTTTTTCTCCATATACTCTTCCTCCTTGCATCACTTCTACTTTGTAAAAAACTTCTCATATGCTAACTTTTTCTCCCTTACTACTCTCTTTACATCATCATTCCACCAATCGCTCCTCTTCCCTCCTGCACCCACTTTCCTGTAACCACAAACTTCTGCTGAACACTCTAACACTACATTTTTAAACCTACCCCATACCTCTTCGACCCCATTGCCTATGCTCTCATTAGCCCATCTATCCTCCAATTAGCTGTTTATATCTTACCCTAACTGCCTCCTCTTTTAGTTTATAAACCTTCACCTCTCTCTTCCCTGATGCTTCTATTCTCCTTGTATCCCATCTACCTTTTACTCTCAGTGTAGCTACAACTAGAAAGTGATCTGATATATCTGTGGCCCCTCTATAAACATGTACATCCTGAAGTCTACTCAACAGTCTTTTATCTACCAATACATAATCCAACAAACTACTGTCATTTCGCCCTACATCATATCGTGTATACTTATTTATCCTCTTTTTCTTAAAATATGTATTACCTATAACTAAACCCCTTTCTATACAAAGTTCAATCAAAGGGCTCCCATTATCATTTACACCTGGCACCCCAAACTTACCTACCACACCCTCTCTAAAAGTTTCTCCTACTTTAGCATTCAAGTCCCCTACCACAATTACTCTCTCACTTGGTTCAAAGGCTCCTATACATTCACTTAACATCTCCCAAAATCTCTCTCTCTCCTCTGCATTCCTCTCTTCTCCAGGTGCATACACGCTTATTATGACCCACTTCTCGCATCCAACCTTTACTTTAATCCACATAATTCTTGAATTTACACATTCATATTCTCTTTTCTCCTTCCATAACTGATCATTTAACATTACTGCTACCCCTTCCTTTGCTCTAACTCTCTCAGATACTCCCAGATTTAATCCCATTTATTTCCCCCACTGAAACTCTCCTACCCCCTTCAGCTTTGTTTCGCTTAGGGCCAGGACATCCAACTTCTTTTCATTCATAACATCAGCAATCATCTGTTTCTTGTCATCCGCACTACATCCACGCACATTTAAGCAACCCAGTTTTATAAAGTTTTTCTTCTTCTCTTTTTTAGTAATT